CAGAGGCAAGCTGGTCTTCACCTCTCATTTTTGTCCAGTTTTACAGGTTGGAAGTCTCTGCTACAAGTACTGGGCACTGGGTCCTTGACATAAGCTTGTCTGGCAATACTGGAGTCTCCATTTCCCATAGTGAGACGGTGAAATGAATGCTAGAAATGAGATCTTTAGGTAACTTGCGTAACCCTGGTTCTCAGAGTACCATGAGTAAGACATCTCACCAGACAGCCCTTCATGCCGGGGCAAAGCGACAAGAGGTGCTTATCTTAAATAACAACTATGTAATAGCACAAGCTATTTAAGGGTGGGTGGCTCTGCCCGACATAATGATTGCAATCACCAGCCAATCAGGATTGGCAGAATGAGATAAATGCATCTGAGGAATATGCGGGGAGGCACATTCCATAGTGACACATCTCACTCATGCAACTCTGAGAACCAGGTTTATGCAAGTAACCTAAAGTTAACACCGTTCATGTCATTCAGACACACTTTGCTCCGCCCCCTACTCGCAGCTTCCTGCTCTACTGTGTTTAGTCGACCTGCGGTCACGTGACTAAGTGGCACTGAGTAGAGCCCTGAGCCGAGGTACTTCCCTGCTGTAAATGAAAAAGTTGCTAACAGTGATGAATGTTGGACAAAGAGTCCCTGCTGTGCAAACTTCATCAACTTATGTAAACACACAAAATATCGTAAAACAAGAAATAACTTTAATCCTTGGAAGGAAAAGAGGAGGAAGGAGATCCCTCAGACACGCTGATCCCCAGCATAGAGACAGAGGCCACTTTCAAAGTCCCTCAAGAGAGGCAGATATTATCGAGGTAGCTCATATAGTGGTGAAAGTTTCAGTCATGACCGATGTCGTCTTTCAGCATTACTTAATGTTAAAGTGTTATTAGTCATCACAGCTGTTACTTTATGAAAGGGGAAAGTATGTGCATAGGCCAAAACCACAGCCCAAAAATAAAACAATGGCTTTGGATCCCTTTATTCCTTTCCCTCCTTTTTTCTTGATATTTTCACTTGAAAATCATATTTAAATTTAATTGTAAGTGTAAAAAAACCCTATAAACCTAAAGCAAAACATTATTTAGGATTGATTACAGCAGCTCTACACTAAACCACAGTGAGGCATGCTGGGGAGACTTAAAAAATGAATCTTTAGGGTCCTCTTATGACCCACAAAAGCATTTTGTGATTGATCAGGAGTTCCCAGTCTGATTCCAGCAGATGCGCGTAAATAAGTTTTATCGGTGTAATTCTGGGTTGTCCATCTAATTTTCATGTATGAGAAGCAGTCTAATTTAAGGGGCTGAGACAAAATTCCCCCAGTCAA